TGGGGGGGGGGGGGAGGCTGATGTCTCTCTTTAAACGCTTACGCGGTGGAAAAAGTTCAATTTATAGTGGTGTCAGACTCTTCCGGTTCAACTGACTGAGGATTTCGAAGAACCAAACCAAAATTAGGTTCAGCTTATCAAAATTCGGTTCAACAAAAACCAACCGCTCATCACTTGCGCTTTAAGATACTTTATGAGCAGAAAAATAAGAAATAGATGGGGAAAAAATACAAAAATATGGGGAAAAAACACAAAATTAAAAATAAAAAAAATTAATAAAAATATGAGAAGGATACTACATCAGGGGAGACTGTGAAATTTTACTATGAAGTCCATAAGCGTTCAAATGGGTGTAGTAGAGCTTATATCCGCGATTTTCTCTGTTTTAGATGCTTGAGACTGGAGAACTGCTCATTACAAAACTGAACTGGGAAGATATGGGAGACTACAAATGCGTAGCTGAAAGTCCACAGGGCCACGAGACTGCTGAAACTTTCCTCTACCCAATGCTACAAGGTATGTACCTTAAAACTGAAGAACTTCTCGAAGGGTACTTTTTTTATTTTGACGCTCAAAACATCGCCTGATCATTCATTAATGTGCCTGATTTTTTTATTTTTTTCAATTAGTTATTCTATTATTTTTTATCTTCCTTTAGAGTGAAACAAATAAAAGAAATGATAAAAAAATTTAAAAAGTGCATTAAGAATAGTCATTTTATGAGATCTACATTCATTCAATGGGTCAGTGGTACCCATTTTTTTTTTTAAATCCATTCTCGAAAGTCCAGGGTGAACTAAGCTTTTAGAAATTCTTTTTGAATTTTTTAAACTCTAAATGAAGTCACTAGAGACACCCGTTTTGAAAATGCCAAAAATGGGACCAGTTTGAAACGATATTTTTGACGGGTTCTGACGTACCCAGCGCAGGAACAGCGTTTTCTGCTACGTTCGCCTTGCTTCGTTAACTCGACAGTCGGTTTTTGATTGATCAGACTTTCATTTGTTTAACTTGATGATAATTACAAACTTGTTGATGAACTTTCGGAGTTTTCCAGGGAATTTTAACTTAAGACTATCTACGCTGTGACCCGGAGAAAAATTCTTTGTCACTATCCCTATTGAAAGGACAAGAATAATCTCGACAAAAAACAAAACTTAATAACAAAGCTTTTGGGATTCAAATACAATTTTTGAGAAAAGTACACTTTCATACACGGCTTGAGAAACTTAAATCATCTTTAAAAGACAGAATTTTGTTTTATGGGTTTCACTATCAAGGAACCAACCCTAAAATTTTCGTTTTTCATTTTCATTTTTTCTCTTTTTCTTTTGTTTGATTTTATCTCTTTCTCTGTTTACTTTCATATGATTTATTCCTATTTCCCTTTTAATTTTTTGTTTTAGTTAAGAATACGAAGGCTGAAGCGCTTGAGTCCATCATGCAAGACTGAATAACTCGTTTCTCTGAGTTGACTTGAAGTCTTACGCCGTAAAGTCACTAGCACTGATTTTACGCCTCTTGCTCTAAATATCGGTGCCTTTTTGAGCCGATATAATTGGAGTCATGGCAATCGGGCCGTTGGAAAAAAATTAAAAAAACTGCTCAGGCATCATGCTCCAAAATCAATAACGATCTGCCGTAATGGAATATTTCATGACACGGATTCAGGGAAATCTCTCTTTTATGAAACGTTCCTGAATCGTAAATTGACGATTAAAATACCTAAAATTTCGAACGAGAAAGATGTATCTGGAAAAATTCCGGGAAAGGAATTTACACGGAGAGTTTTCTTCTTAAGAATGGAGATCATCGTCGGTAAAGATATCGATATTGAGTCTGGTATCATAACTGCAAGGATAAAATATTTATATTAAGTAAAATGCTCGGTTTTCATTGACAGGTTTCTATAAACACGTTAAAGTCTTCTAGTAACATACTTGAGATAAACATATTCTTCAGTCATAATAAGAAATATAATCTATCGTGGTTTCGATAATCTAGGATAAGATACACTTATTGAAAATGTACTTACGATAAAAATTAAACAGAAATTTGAGTGTCTTTCGAGTGTAAATATGTATCACCAAAAAGGTAAATATTTATCATTGGAGCTGAATGATGATCGCTAATTACATGCGAACAGATAATCTCGATAGTTTTGCTGAGATTTCTCAATTTCAGCTCTATTCCAAATTCGTCGTGTACACATTAAAAATTGATCGGTATTAAGCATTGAAGTACTTTCTGCTGCTCAGGAAGCCTCTCTCATCCTCCTCAATCAAAATAAACCATCGTTTATTATACTTTTTGGACTATATTTTGAAAATAAGAACTACCTAGTTCAACTATTAGAGCACCTACTGCACAAAAAATCCAATGGCACAACTGTTATTTCTGAAATGAGCCAGAAATAGTGACGCTTCATCGCAAATGATACCTATACATTTGTGGGTTTTGAATAACCATTCTTAAGCTTCGGAGAGAGGTAAATTGAGATGCAAAAAATTCCAAGGAATTCAATAATTCTAAAAAACATGTTTTCAAAAACTTTTCAAAACAAAAGGAAGGGAATGAAATATAACATAATATATCATCCTTTCATTTCCTTTATTCGAATTATTGACCATATGGAGGGACTGTAGTGTTGTGTCACAATTGGCAATTTTCTCAACATACGCGTGACTTTCATTGTCAGCTAGAACTTGACATACTTGATCCTCAAGAAGAGATGCCCGTCAAGTTCTGACGAAACTCTTCGACTGATTGATTGGACGGATTTCTGCCAAAAGGAACTATGCGCATCATGACGTGAGCCCTGTTATACATTTATTCTTATGGGACGCAGGGCTCATGTCTTAATGCACATAGTTCCGTTTGATAGAGATACGTCCGATTAAGGGAGGGATTTAAGAGCGAAGTACCTATCTCCGTTCTTATCACTCCATGCGGCTAGTCCACTTACATCTTCAATAATCCGTTTCTTCCTTTTGAACTGAGTGCACTTTTGCGGTGTCCTTCAGTTGTCATAAATTAGCGCATGGATATTAAATGCATCGATTATACAGGGTTATCTAGGGATAAACGGCCCGACCGCAGGAGCCGAAACACCCCCATACCCCCTCTTTCAATTGAAATTTCTATTTTGTATCGATGATTGATTAATTCAGGGCATAAAAGTAAAGGAAAGTACAAACTTTCATGAGATTTGGTACACAACCGTTGCCAAAATTCAGGAAAAAACACTTACTTTCCGAACTTTTGGTGGGGTCGTAGCTCCGACTGGGGGAGCTTTTGGAAAAAAAAAACTTTATACAAGAAGGGTCTTATTTTGACCCGTAGAACACGCTCCTGCAGTCTGGCCGTTTAACCCTGCATCACCCTGTGTATAACCTCATCGCGAAGTCTTAAATGTATGCATTTCTTTTTACTACATTGAATAGATGACTGCATGGAACAGAACTTTCCTTAGGATACTGCAGAAGATCTTTAACTTGGGGTTCCCTTTTGCTGAATGTAGACGATTTTTCGGTTTCCATAGAGATAATGAGACACGCGTGATGGAAAGTTTTAAACCATTTAAGTAAGATATTTGATACTAAAATTAACATTTTTAGAATGTTTAAAAAATCTGATTACGTCATTTGTATTCTGACACTTAGTCTCGTATGGTCTCGGTCAGAAGATTTCCGAACTGAACGTGCGGTATTTTTTACGTAGAATTTTGAGTTAAAAACCAAATACTTCATATTTTGATAAATATATTGAGTGGCCCTGGCGTAAATTTCACGCAAAATTTCCTAATTTGTAGCACGCACTCGTTCTAGATTTTTTGTTTTTTGTAGTTCAGAAAATATTTTTTAGAAATAATTCAGAAAAATGCCAGAAAAGTATGACTCCCTTCTCTTGAAGTATTAAACTTCAACGTCTTGATCGACAGATCAAGAATCCTGTTCAAAATTGTGAACATTACTGTAAGAAGCAAACATGACTGCAGAGCACATAATGTGCATTCTGTTTTTTTTTTTAAATTATTCTTTTGTATTCAGTTTTCTTTTACTATTTTTAGTTCTCTAATTTATTTATTTAATTTATTATTTAATTTATTACTTATTTAACTTAATATTAGGTAGTATTAGTTATAATCGATACGTTTGCAAGTTGGATGAAAAAATAAGGAGCGTGCATAATTCGACTCCAGGCATCACATTTGCGCCGATCAAATTAATTCTCGCATGAAGTAAGGCATAATCAGTTTTATAAGGAAACAAATCCCACGTTACCTAACACAAGGAGATCTTTCTACAAAAAGATTTTTAAAAAAAAAAATTCATAATTTAGTGTTAACGCATTTTTCAAAACTATCTTTGAAGATGGATTTTTTCTACTTTATGACGTTCAATTTTTGCTTTCGACGTAGAAATATTTCAACATTTCTTGAAAAGTCACACACACAAATTGAAATATTTTAATCAGCTTGTAAAATAACAATTTCCAGATATCAGAATAAGAATCAGAGTATGTGGAAACATTTTTATCCACTGACTCTATACTGAAAGTTATGGAGGACTCTTAAATCAATGTTTTCAAAATCCAGGGTAATCCAAAAGTCCTGTACCAATAGCACCACTTGTAACTCTTGTAGCTTTAGAATGAACTGAGATGGGAGTTGGCATTTTGTGAGTACTCACAGGTCAAAAGAAACTACGCTTCGGAAACTACTACGGGACCCTTCAAAATTGTAGGGGGATCTTCCTGAAAAGAGGCAAAAACCCTGAGGTTTACAGGGATGGTACGGGACCCTTAAATCACCCTGTACGAGAGCGCAGAAAAAAATGAATGAGTTTCATCCAACTTGCATCGCGAAAAGATTTCACGCCTTCTCCACAATCAAATACTATAATTTATTATCCTTCATTCTCTCTCATCTCTTTAACTTATTTTGATTTGTATTATTAATTGATTAAGGCCTAATTTCCCCCTCTTGAATACTTTCCCATATCATTTTAAGGTTCTTTCTTCTAATATTTTTTAAGTATTTTCTTTTGTACTGGTGATTTTATAGTGAGTAGTTGTAGCTGAATTCTCGAATAAATTTCCTTTGATTTTGTTTTTTAAACTATTCCTCTTATTTATTTTGATTAATTCTCTCATACTTTGAGTTTTCATTATTTTTTTTACGTTTCGTTCATCGATTTGCTCCTATGATTTTTCACGAGAGGTATCATTTTATTTTTACCTTATTTATATCAATCTAAACTATGTGAGTAATTATTTCTAAATTAATCGTTTGCCACAGCGGGTTGGTTATTGAAATAGTTGGACAAAGCTGTAGACAAAGAGGAAAAAAAGAAAATGGAGCGATCCTATCTATAGAGGCGGGTGGTTGCAATATGTAAAGGAGATAAAGCAATAGATAAACTAATGGCAACCCACGAAAGACACCATTGTTCCATTCGTCTACTAGTTTTCTTGCATTTTTTTATAATTGGATCGCATTTAGCACAAAGAAACTGGAGCGATTACAGTGTTTTCAAAATCGTGCAACTTTTTAATTTCTTCTAAAAATACTTAATATGTGTGCGATTTTAAATTTACAAAATTTTTTTCCTTTAAAATCAACAATTTGCTAGTGAAAACTATTTGCTATTCTGGGAGATTTTATAGGTAATTACGGAGGAGCAACATTTTCACAACACTGTAGTCGCGCTGGTTCCTTTTTGCTAAATGCGATCCAATTAATGATCACAATTCAAATGATTATTCGGGCTCACGTGCAGTGCTTTTGTCGTGCACCAATTTGAAATGCAGAACTCCCTAAAGTTGTTGATCTGGTCGGTGCGATCTATCGAACGCAACTTCGACAATGGAGATGTTGCATGTGTGAGGAATTTGCGATTTGACTGTTGATTCTCATGTAAAAGTTCGCGAGAAACACGATGGTGCTACTGGTTTTCTCTGAAATCAACTCCCAAGCTCCAAAAAAAGCTCTCAACTTGAGGCCAAAATGGAGGGGATATCCCACGCTACCCTGAGAGTCCACCTCTACATCAAGACGAACTCTCCATGCAAAGATAAGGAGCAAATACATTAGCAGGGTTGCCGTGTTTTCAGTTTTGGAGTCCCGAAATAAAGTGGCAGCCCTGTCAATGTATTTGCTCCTTATCTGTGCATGGAGAGTTTGCCTTGATGTAGACGTGGACTCTCAGGATAACGTGGGATATCCCCGGCCATTTTGGCTTCAACTCGAGAGCTTTTTTTGAGCTTGGGAGTTGATTTCAGAGAAAACCAGTGGCACCATCTTGTTTCTCGCTAACTTTTACATGAGAATCAACAGTCAAATCGCAAATTCCTCGCACATGCAACATCTCCATTGCAGGACCCCATCCTCCTTCCCCCCCATTCCCTTCCACCCCCATCACCGCTCTCCTCCCCCGCACGAACCGAGTGATGGAGTCGTCACGGGAAGTTGCTTCTTCCTGTTTCTCTTTCATTTACACAAATTTTACCCATGAGTTTCCATCAAACAGACTGAACGAAAAGTTCGCTTTCCGAAGGCCTGACGATTTTTACTTGAAATTGAAAGCGGGGGCTTATTATTTCTTACTGTTTAATTTGACATACATTTTCGTTTTCACGAGGGAGAATAACTTTATACCAAGGTTGCAAAATCGACTAAAACAATTCAAATTTTTACAGGAACATGACTGTGCGATGGAACTCTTGAATGTGTCAGAAATTCGCGATTTGAGGTGATTCGATGAACGCTGTATTTTGTGTGAGGACGACATGCGATATATCTCGTTGATTGGTTCCATCTTTTCAGCTACTCGTTATCGTTCTCGAATTTTGAGATCGCAATTCTGATTTCAGGAGACTTGAGAGTTTACTTGCAAATTTTGACCAAACAATTCAACGTAATATAGACGTGGTTTTTTTTAGAGAGAAAGTATCTGATTCGAGTGCAGTTCCGATATCAGTATCGAATGCGATATTTTTCCTCTAAAAAAATCACGCCTTTATTACGTTGAATTTGTTTGTCAAAATTGGTAAGTGAATTCTTTAGTCTCCTGAAATCAAAATTGCGATATCAAAATTCGAGAAAAATGACAAGTAGCTGACCCTGGTAAAAATTGGCAGTCGAATCTGTGTTCCAAAATACCATAGACGTACGGCCGGCTGTAAGATTTCCAATAGCTTCTATAGCCGGCTGCACAATTTTTTATAGCCTTTTATAGCCGATGGCGATGAAGCAACAGCCAGGCGATAAAGTGTATGCTAAACGTAACTAATTACGGATGCTAGGACTTAGTGAGTTTTTGGACCGCTACTCTCTTTTTGGGCCGTAGTATCTTGCTTTATTTTGCGAGGAAAGCTCTGCACTTTTGATGGATACCTGCCATTCCTAATATATTAGAGCGCCTTCAATTTCGTATGATACTGTGCAATTCCTCTGGTGTGAAATAGTTGCTTCAAGCGCCGCGCCGTGTCACGCTGCGGCGCGGCAGGCGGGCAGCCACCGCGGAACGCGCATTGGCGCCTACAAACCCAACAGGGATACCTCACGCGTTGAGCAATGCGTGAAGTATCCCTGTTAGGTTTGTAGGCGCCAGTGCGTCGCCGCTCCGCTTTGTGTTAGGCTCTAATATTTAATCTAGCGGAGTCAGCGTTATTCAACTCATGATTTTGAAATGTTTGCACATCCTGTATGGATTATTCTCGTTTAAATTGATCAAAAAAAATATGTATTAAAGGAAAATATAACGTGTGTTTTGTAAGGGGTATTAAGGTGGTTCCGTATCAAACTTAATGATTCCCAAAGCACACGAATTTCTACACAATTTCTTTTAGCCTTTTATAATCGATGGCGAAAAAGCAACAGCCAGGCGATAAAGTGTAAAGCCCGGCCGTAGGAACTATAGCCCGGCATCATAATTTTTTATCGCTTCGTATAGCCCGGCCGTATGATTTTCTCCGCATTCTACAGCCAGCTATTTGATTTTCTGTAGCATTCTTTAGCCGGATATAAGAATTCCTATGGTATTTTGAAACGGAGCTCTTATCGCCAATTTTTACCAGGGGAAAAATGGAACTAATCGATGCGATATGTCGCATGTCGTCCTGACCATAAAATACAGCGTCCATCAGATTACCTTAAATACAAATTCCTGTGTAAAATTTCTCGAGAGTTAAAAATTGTCGAGGTACGCCCTTATGGCAGAGAGTGACGAAATGTGAGTCAAAATATTCTTAAATTGGACGTATTTCTATCAAACGGAACTATGTGCATTAAGACATGAGCCCTGCGATCCATAAGAATAAATGCATAACAGGGCTCACGTTATAATGCACATAGTTCCGTTTGACTGAAATACGTCCAATTATTCCTCCAAAAATCTCGCGACTCCGACGAGCAAACCAGTGGCGTGGTGTGCTTTGCGATGAATCGATTAATCTGCCACTCATACCCGAAGAAAAGGATCGATTATCAGGGCGTTCGCAATGAACACCATATCAATCGATTCTTTACCATAGCTTCAAACGAGATGGTATCGATACCCAAGTAGCAGTGATCGCGATAAATAGCAATTTTATCGGTTGGTTATCGCGATTATATTGGTGACAATATATCCAGATATTATCGCATTAAAAATTGCGATACATGGCGATTAAATCGCTACACATCGCAGTTTTTGGTTCGATAAAATCGTGATCAATTTTCGCGGATAAAATCGAGATTAAACCGCCAATTATTGCGATTTTTATTTCGGAAATATCGCGATATATTTTCGGGCGATAAAATCGCGATTTTATCGCGATAAGATTGAGGATAATCGCTCAGATGTTGATTATCTTGACGATTTTATCGCCGATAAAATCGCAATATATATGTCGCGTACAAATAGCAAAATCAAGCATTTTGTCAAATGCCTAGGCAAATATTCAAATATTCTAACTTAGATTGAAATTCTAATTATTTTCCCAATTTCAGACAAAATAATTCATTACTTCAGCAACAAAAAGTTTTCAATAAAAATTTGCACACACAATAGTCATTTAAAAATTTTTTAGCTCCTGAAGCGACACTGATCTTGAAATTTTCAGCATTCCGTAAAATACAGAATTTTTGGAATTTCAACATTTAAAAATATGAGAAGCAATTGGAGAGGAAGAGACAAAAAGAGTTCGTATATCGGTTTGATGAGTTATTTTTTCAAAAATAGTGAAAAATCGTGAGTTCTCCGCAAAAAATTCACAAAATTTTGCAGTCCATTAAAATTTGGATATCTGCCTAGGCATTCGACAAAACGCCTGATTTTACTATTTGCCTGTGATATACATACATAGTGATTTTTTCGTTGAGAAATGCTTCTTGGGTGGTCGCTTTCTGAGCCTCGCTACTGGAGCGTAGCGTAGAGTCCCTTTATACTGAGAGTCAAGACAACACCCCTCATGGAGTCACAAATGGGAATAAAGATTACAGAAATTGAATAACGTTCTTTGTAATCTTTGCTCGGCTCATTCTGAAATTCCTTTCTCCCGTTCCTTCTCTCATTCCGTTTGTTCCTTGCCAAACTCGTAATTCCCTGGTCCATGACAGATTATAATCTTTGCAATCGGTGAAAATGTAATCTTTATTCCCGTTTGTGACACTGTGAAGGCCTAAAATACGGGAACCAATCAGAAACGGCTTCACATTGTCTTGACTCTCAGTATAAAGGTAGAGTCCCTTTATACCCAGAGTTACGACAACTCACTTTTGGTTGGGCCAGGATTGGGCTGAAAGTGGCCTAAAAAAAAATCCAATTCTGATTGGTTCTCGCTCATGGAGGCCGAAACTAGTGCACCAAGATGGCGGTACCTCGTATGTGAACAAGAATAATGAAAATATTACCTAATTGTGGTTTATCAAGAGTAAATTGTTATTGCCATCGGTCCAAAATGAAAATAGATTAAGAAATTATTCACAAACCAATCTCATTTTCTTTTTAATTGATCAATTTGTTGATGTTGTTGTTTCTGTGTGACAGACATCGCAGGATTCCTGATCCTTATCCCCCAATATCGTTCGTTTGAGTGCACTAGTTTCGGCCTCCATGGCCAGCCAAGGTCGGCTGCCAGTCAGCTGATAATCGAGTTGTCGTTACTCTGGGTATAAAGGGACTCTATATAAAGGGACTCTCTGGAGCGAATATCAGGGTTCAATCGCTGCACGTGAACCGGAATGAATGGAAGGAAGCATTTAAATTACAAATGAATTCGAGACGTGGAGGGACATCGTTCCAGATGTGGAACCGGGTTTATTTTTAGCGGGGCTCATCGTTACATATCCCGGTTGCGCGAAATTCAATTCGATGGCTTTCGAGGAGGCGTTTACGATACCACCAAGAATAACCTTCCGAAGAGCGCGGTATGTTCGAAGCTATTATCTGGAGGAAATACTCGGCGTCTTTCGCCGCGGAAAATTGGAAAGCGCATTTTCACCTCTCCCGGGAACGATGGTGGACTGGACTACATTTTGCGATAAGGAACTACCGTTTCTGGCTCAATCAATAAAAGTAATGTCACATGTGTTCTCTCTAACTGGACTTCATTTTTCAATTCGAAATCGCATAATTTCTGGCTCAGTTCAGAAACAACGTATCGAAATGGGCAAGGCCCAGTGCCGCCTATCTGCAAAGTGCACTGGAAAAAAGTCGCTTGGATCTAGAGTCCAGACTCTTAATAACTTCGACAAGAAAAAACAAACGGGAAAGTTCTAATACTTTCGTATTAGAAAAGCGCTCAGGTGTTAGTAAATGTATTTAATGAAGAAAGGACGTATAAACTCCGTCGATTTGGCTGGGAAATGGAAATAAAACATCAGCTGATAGCAAACAAAGGTTACCAAGGAAATCGTAAACGCGTATTTTTGTTTCCCGAAAATGAGCTCACCGTTGAGCTCATCAGGCGCGTTTTTTTAGGCTTCATTTGAGTTCAACGATCAATTTCGATAAGAATTACTCTACCGCTAAGAAATTTTCTTATAGACAAACGATCGAAACTACCTGCGCATTACGTTAAAAGCATAAAATACAGTTTTCACAGCTTTATTTATTTTAAAAATGGACCCCCCCCCCCTAAAAAGCCTACATCGATGAGCTGGTGCGCCATTTAAACGCATTAGCACTAGTATACTAGTACTCAGAGGCAAGTCGAAATCAAAAAGCGCTGCCTATCGGCTGAGCGCTTAATACTTTTAATTCCAACTTTTCCTTGAATCGAAGAGCCAAGCCTCTTGATCTAGGCGGATTTCCCTTTTGATTCAAGCAAAGAGTCCGATTGAATCAAGAGCCACATAGAGGGTGGAGCGATGTAAATGAGTGTAGTGTCTTGTGCGTTTCTCCGAAAAGAAGGCGCTCTTGTTGGCGTCTCTTCCTGACAAGAGACATATTTGAAGACGCTGCTGCGCAGAGCGTGGTCTCAGAGGCTAAAATAATTGCATCATTTAATATTTCCATCGGAAAATACACTAAAAGAACCCGATCAACAGTGTAGCAGCGTAGACTACACCGGAAAAAAACACTCTTTTTGCTGGAAAAAATATGATCAGAGCTAAAATTTTGAAACATTGCAATGTGGCTGCGCCAAGGAAAAATGCTGTGCGCACACGCAAATATTGCCAACTTTTCAGTGTTGAAAAATTTATATTGGAACAAAGTTAGGCATATTTTGCCTTGGAATTTTCAGATATTTTAGATGAAATTACGAAAAAATTTGTCTGAAAAATTGGGAGAAAAATATGCACAACTTTTCTAATGAATTTGTATTTTGTCCAAAAAAATTTGCAAAGCCTAAAGGTTCATACGGCGTTTTTCCTTAGCAATGCAGAATGGAGACACTAGAAAAAAAAAACCACATTGGATCTAGAGTCCAGACTCTTAAAAACATCGACAAGAAAAAATGCTCTTGGTTCAATCGGATTTTTGCTTAAATCAAGAACCAAGCCTCTTAATTTGAGCGGATTTCCTTTTGATCTAAGCAAAAATCTGATTGAATCAAGAGTATTTTTCCTGTCAATGTTTTCAAGAGTCTGGATTCTAGATCCAATGTGTTTTTTTTTCCAGAGTAGTGAATAAAGCAGTTGCCTTTGATGATTATTTGACGGGCAGTGCCGATACTTAAAAAACGCCTTCATTGGGAAAAGATACTTCCTAGCGTGGCCTCAGAGGCCGAATATTTGCATCATTTAAAAACCCTATCAACAGTGTGGCAACGTAGAATAGTGAATAAAGCGGTTCTGATGCTTCTGAAACGCCTTCAATGGGAAAAGATACTTCCTTGCGTGGCCTCAGAGGCCGAATAGTTGCATCATTTTAAAATCCATACAACGGTGTAGGAGCGTGTTGTATCGATTGCGCACAAAATGGGAAATCATTACGTTGCTACAGAACTTTATGGTAAATCTAAAGCGTTTTTCAATTCGGAATTTCGGTGGCATTTCAATACATTTAAAATTTTTAAATTTCAGGACATCCTTACATCTCTGCTAAAAAATAAATCATTACTTTTTGGCCACTGTTTGCGTCAGTTCATAAATGCAAAATTTGATAATGAAACATAAGTACTCAATTTGAAATGACTGAAAATATAGATAGTCTGGGAATCATGATCTAAAAGACATAACGATTCACTGAATTCCCTCGGGACGTGCTTTCAAAGTCATTTAAAACTATTTCATGATTAAACTTGCACTTCATTACACAACACAATACGAAGGCTCTCATGGATTGCTAAAAAATCAGGAATTATTGGGTAATTGGTTAATCGATTATCAACTCATTCTGATCATGCAATCACCTTACTTTTGTACCTCCATAATGAATGATTTTTGAATAAAAGGTAATAAAGGTACCTTTTTTCACAGAGTTCAACACTATTGTCTATCGAAACGACGCAATCATGATTCTTTTGACTGAGGTAAGCCCAGGTAAAAGAGAGACCTACGAAGAGTTGTCAGTATTTTTGATACGATGACGCGACCCTCGGCCTCAGCTATCTCGTGAAATTATCTACTTTCTTTCTACAGAGTGGGTGCGTTTTAATTATAATATTCTTTGAACGACCGAAAATGTTGCTGACACGTGCGGGAATTTTTTCGCTTACCGCGCATTTCAACTAAAATTAAACTCCTTGAATAGCTTATCAATTTTCTTTATTTTGTTTGATCAGTTCTTTTGCCAAGACACAACATTGCCAACTACTGTACAAGTTCTTTGCGAAAATCAATAAGCGTTTCGTTTCCTGGATATTTTGCTCGACGAAATCGGAATTGCTTTTCGGATTTTCAGCCTGGGTAGTGGTTGGTCTTTGACGAGTTTAGGTTGTTTTCAACGTCAGCCAATTTATTTGGGAGGAAGATACCTAATGCAGAAAACAAATTTTAAACATTTTGTTGGACCCTTCACTAATATTTTAGTATGATTATCAGGTGGTTCTTTTTCGGGAAAAGCGGCGGTCCAGCATTGATCTTACTTACGAGTTTAAAATTGAGCGAGGTTTTCGACAAATAACTTTATTTTCACACGAATCCCTAAGAAATGCACTCTAAGATGGTGCAACAAAGCTCGAGTGGCTGTTTCTACAAAATACTCTCCAATGTGATAATGGCAATTAACATCGTTGGTTCACGTTTATGAAAGTATTGACATTCTTGATCTCACAAATTGTCTGGTTCTTTCATAATTTTTAGATAAGATTTTTACTAACAGTACTCAAATTTTGATGAAAAATGGTTAAAATGTCTGTTTTTAACGTTTTCTATTTCAGCCTTCAATAACGATTCTTTGGATTTGTTAACGATGTAAATACACCGAGAAAAATAATATGCTGTTTTAGCATCTAGGATGTCAAAAATGTGTCTGGTGATCCCAAGATGCTGCGTTTACTGCCCCTGCAGTTAATTTTACATCTTAAAAATGCAAATTCAACTGCGTGGGCAGTAAAGGCAGCATCTTGGGATCACCAAACACATTTTTGACATCCTAGATGCTAAAACAGCATATTATTTTTTTCGGTGTAGGGCATGTTAAATCAGTAGAGAGGCTTGAGGGACAAGGCGATTTAGCGCAAATTTTGAAAAAATTGAGATATTAAGTAATAATTTCCACTGAGAGTAGTGTTAAAATATAATCTATGAAAAATTCGCCACTAAAATCAAATTTCAAGTATCAAAACGTGAGTTCTCCCTTTATCCCGCCATAAAGCTCCATGTAATTTTGAAACGTGAAAAGCGTACCTCTTTCAATTTCAAGAGCCCCTCATTTCGAATTTAAGGTGTCTGCATTAAAACCGGGCACTGCTCGTAGAGGGTAATATCCGATCGCTGATAAAAATGCCAATTTTTCAAAAATCAGTCAACGCTGCTTCGATGTAAAAGCTTTCTGCGCAGTATCCCAGACGGCAGAATTTTTTTCTTCTTCTTAGAAACAACGTCTCGAGCAGAGGGGCCCCGAACTATGTACGCAGTAAAATTTCCGTTCTGCAACCATTTTGAGCGATTGTTTCATCATCATAAATAAAACAAAGTTGCGCGTTTGATAACATATCTGCTGCTCTCGGGACACTACGACCACACACACAGTACACACACACACAGTACACTTTGATTGTTGTGCCTCGGAGAATAGCCACCTCACGCGTGTGTGGACGGCAGATCGTCGCTATACCATCGGTGAAAATCGTAAGAGGCTTCACTCATAGTGAAAGATGCGCGACGTAAAAAACGCCTGCAACCGGGGGAGTATGCTTCACGCGCCACCAGCACGCACTTAGTATTGTATCACGATAAAGGGCCGGATTCATAGTCGTCTCATAGCCCAAGTAGCAGTGATTGCGATAAATAGCGATTTTATCGGTTGATTATCGCTATTATGTCGGTGGCAATTTTCTCGCAATATTATCGAAGGAAAAATTGCAGTTCATGGCAATTAAATCGCTATGCGTCGCAATTTTTTGTTCGATAAAATCGCGATCAATTTTCGTCGATAAAATCGAGATTGAATCGCTATATATCGCGATTTTTGTTGCGATAATATCGCGATAAATTGCCGGGCGATGAAATCGCGATTTTATTGCAACAAGATCGAGGATAATGGCTCAGGTGTTGATTATCCTGACGATTTTATCGCCGATAAAATCGCAACAAATCGCGATTTTTCCGTTGAAAAATGCTACTCTGGAGACAGCTCCTTTCCTTAGGGAGGCCACGTACTGTTTACATTGTGATTCAGGGAGGTTTAAGGACACCGTTATCATAGCGCATTATGAAAAAGTCGACACCTCAATTGCGAAACTATGGTCACAATGATTGGCCATTGTAGAAAAAGTAGCAGTGTACATAAAGACGATTAGATTTAGACGGTTTAACTTAAAGGCCGTGGGTATTCATGGTTGTTCCTCAACACGTCCTTTTCCCTGAGAAGACCCAATATGGTTTACATTGTGATTAGCCACTCGTTGTTGTGCTCTGAAGCGAGACGGTCGCGCTTCATCTCACGCCGGATCAGTATTTTTCAACAAAATTTCGGAAAGAAAATCACCAGCATGTGATTCTGCTGGAATCGAGAAAAGTGCTCGCGTCGCGGTGTTCTGGCGGCCGGGTCCCGAGTGATATTAGTGNGTTGTTCCTCAACACGTCCTTTTCCCTGAGAAGACCCAATATGGTTTACATTGTGATTAGGTACCAGGGCACCTACGCCTTGTAAAATAACATCATGAAAGGACAATTTTAAAGAAGCTTGACTAAAATTTTACAGTATACTTTAGAAATAGATCAGTTTCAGGGATTACAATGATTTGCAACTGCAAAATATGTAAAATACGACTGACAAATTATTCAAATTTTTAATCTTTTTACGCAAGTCTCTTTTTAGTTAACTTAATAAAGTTAGTCGAAATCATAGAATTATTGCCCTTAGTGTCAAATCATAATATCTCTTGCAAGGATCTACTTTCGGAGTACCTACATGCGTTATTTTGATAAATTTTACAGGAGGTTTATAATGATTATCTATTTCAAGCTGCTTTGATGCAGACATCACCTTGGTTATAATACAAACCATATCAATGGTGAAACTTTAACTTACACCACGCAGCTCGGTTTGCGAAGCTGCAGATTTCTTTTCATACTTACCTAATTTTTTAAATGGAAAGTTACTCATCGGTTTTCCTCGCTTTTCGCTCTCCAAGCGAAGTAAAATCTATGGAATGATGTTAATTTTTTTCTTGACTCTTAAATAACCATAGGGTTGCCAGATTGTGCGAAATAACATGTATAGAAAACATTGAGTTATATGCGAAAATGTGCTGACTTTTCAGAACAATCTGGCAACGATGACCAAACAGGAGCTGATATTTTTAAACAGCGCAAACTGAAAACTGGTTTGGGAGTTTCACCGCTGATTTTGGATTTTCTTGAGGAGAGAAGCTGTTTAAGAAACGACGATGAATATAACCCTGAGGGTGTAAACAAATTTACGACAAACTATTAATGGTTTGATTTATTTCTGTTTTTTTTAGAGTGAAAATCGCACATCAAACCACCATCATCGAAACTTCATCGTTCAACGAGAGCAGATAAGAGGAAGGATTTTGCTTTCCACAACTGATCTGATTTGGAAAATTAGACGAAAAAAGTTACGAAGTAGGTTTTTAAAATAATAGAAATAAAGAAAAAAAACAGGACTCTCATAACTTTATGGAATCGCAAGCCGTACCTACTTATAGTGCTATTTGTAAACAAATAATTTCGTAAAACCGTTTCAGTTTCGTTTGATTGTTCATTCACTGGATTCGTTTCTTTTCCCACATTGTTTAGAGCAGGTAAAGCAGAGTAAAACTATTGTGATTTATTTTTTTATTCTTTCGAAAACGTGTAGTTTCGTTATAGAGTTAAGTAAATTATTGGTGTATTTTTTTAAGGAAAAAATATATTTGACTTACTTATTTTTCCATTTCATTTGAAAGAAAGTGTTTTATTATTATATTGATAAACTATTGAAATTTAAAACTGGTCTTTTTATTTCTTTACCCATCATCCTCTATTAAAAGTTATAAAAGCAGGGGAGTCTACTAAAACTGGCTGGAAAAAATTAAGCATTTTTACAGTTCTCTTTCAGTGCCTCGTAGCCAGAAAATATTGAGTACTTTTTTGGTACCTTCAAACAGGCCCGCCACATCCAATCTCGGGCCCTGGTACCAGTTTTAAGGTCCGGGCCCCAACCACGGAGTGGGGGTGGGGAGGGGTCCGAGGGGCATCCCACAAGAAATTTTAGAATTTATACGACTAATCGGACGCATTTTGAAGCTTCCATAAAGAATTTTCCCATCAATTTCTGCGGAATAATTATGTTTCTTTTTTTTTTTTTTTTTTTTTTTTTTTTTTTTTTTTTTTTTTTTTTTTTTTTTTTNTTTTTTTTGGGGGGGGGGGCATATGATACTATTTTCAGTTCTATGAGGGCCAGGCCCCGCTGGACTCCCCCTTCGTTTGTCAATGGCAAGGGAGTTGAGCCATGAGCCATTGAAGTCGAGGATGCCCATCGGACGACGGAAGAAAATGAAACGCAGTTACTAAAAATATCCCTCTGTACTGAAAATCTTGAAAATAGATAGAAATTTTCCGAGAAGTATACTTCTTCGAAAATTTAAGAGGAATTCTACAGAGCCCCAGCGTGTTTCTGAAAATCTATTCACCTTTTGCAAACTTTTTAGGGTAAATTTTTCACTTTTTCTTACGAAACAAGAGTTGCATGTGAATTCGTAGTGGGTTTTCACGGGTTACACGGGCCCCCTCCGGGGCCCGGGCCCCGGTACCAGGGATCCAGTATCGCCGGCTTGTGATGGGCCTGCCTTCATGTACGCTGGGCCTGTCGATTTCCTTAGACATTTTTGCAGTGGTGAATGCATAGCTGAAGTGCGCTGCAGCTAAAATTGAATAAAGCAAATGGGTAATTTTTATAGGAGGATTATAAATGAACAAGTGGTTTGAAATGAAAACAAAATACTATGAACTATGCAAAACGATTATTCATATATCGGATCTTGGCTGTTTTGAAAACACCTTCAAATGCGGCTTGATACCTCACGAATTCCGGAACGCTGGGCGTGTCGATTTCCTTTGACATTTTTGCAGTGGTGAATGCATGGCTGAAATCCGCTTCAGCAAGAATTGTATTCACAAATGGGTGGTTTTTCTACGATGATTAAAAATAAACAAGTGGCACGGAATAGAACAAAAGAATATGAACTATTCAAAACGATAATCCGGGAATCGGAACTTGGCTGTTTTGAAAACGCCTTCAAATGCAGCGTGATACCTCACGCATTCCGGAGAGTGAAAATAGTTGTATCATTGCGCCGTAAGAATGTGACGGAATATTTAAATGGAAATATAGCCTTCATGCAGGCTCGCCACATCCCATTTCGGGCCCTGGTACCAGGTAGAGTCCCTTTATACTGAGGGTCAAGACAATTCGGCTCATGGATGTCACAAACGGGAATAAAGATTACAGAAATTGAACGTTTTTCGTAATCTTTGATCGGCCCATTCTCAAATGTCTTTCTCCGTTCCTCCTCTCATTCCGTTTGTTCCTTGCCGAACCCGTAATTCCCTGGTCCATTCCAGATTATAATCTTTGCAATTGGTGAAAATGTAATCTTTATTCCCGTTTGTGACACTGTGGAGGCCTAAAATACGGGAACCAATCAGAAATGGATTCAAATTGTCTTGACTCTCAGTATAAAGGGACTCTAGTACCAGATATATGGTCAGGGCCCCAAGCACGGAGTGAGGGTGGGGGGGGGTCCGAGGGGCATCCCACGAGAAATTTTAGAATTTATACGACTAATCGGACGCATTTTGAAGCTTCCATAAATAATTTTTTCATCAATTTCTGTGGAATAATTATGTTTTTTTTTTTTTTTTTTTTTTTTTTTTTTTTTTTTTTTTATACTATCAGCACTAAATACGAATTGTTGCATTCAAAACATCTGGAAAATTTTTATTTTTTTTAGGGGGGGGGGCATATGATACTATTTTCAGTTCTATGAGGGCCAGGCCCCCCTGGACTCCCCCTTCGTTTGTCTATGGCAAGGGAGTTGAGCCATGAGCCATTGAAGTCGGGGATGCCCAGACTGGAGACTCTTAGCATCTGACGACGGAAGAAAATGAAACGCAGTTACTAAAAATATCCCTTAGTACTGAAAATCTTGAAAATAGATAGAAATTTTCCAAGTAGTATACTTATTCGAAAATTTAAGAAGAATTCTACAGTGCCCTAGCGTGTTTCTGAAAATCTATTCACCTTTTGCGAAATTTTTAGGGTAAATTTTTCACTTTTTTTTACGAAACAAGGGTTGCATGTGAATTCGTAGTGGTTTTTCACAGGTTACACGGGCCCCCTCCGGGGCCCGGGCCCCGGTACCAGGGACCCAGTATCCTCCCCCCCCCCTTGTGGCGGGCCTGCCTTTAAGTTTGTTGTTGATTTGAGCTCCAATTATTTAATTATATTTCTTTCCACTTGTTTATTTTAAACTCTTCTATAAAAATGTTCGCATTTGCTAAATACAATCCTAGCTTGAGCACGCTTAAACCATGCGGTCAAACCTACAATTAGTCCAGGCGCCTGGTAAGTCTACATGGAATTTTGGGTACACAGCGATTTTTTTGGCCTACTTTATGTTTTTTGGGTCGCTGAATCCGAATCTGAAGTTTCCGCAGGCGTATCTGGTGAGCATTTTCCGCTATTTTGAAAAAATGGCCTAAAAAGGCCTTTTTTTGCGGTTTTTTTGATATAGCGGCTACGGATGAGCAAAAGTCCCGGATTTAGCTAATGTTTTGAATAGCTGACATAATTTGGAAGAAAATGGTATATACATATGTTAGGTTTGCTTAAAAATTGAGGAAGATACAGCATCGTGAACATCGCGCCTATTCACGTTTTCGCGGCGCACCCGTCAACGCGCGATCCGGCTCGCCGCGGTCAGCCAAGTTCCGAAGCGTTCTAAAGTTCCGAAATCCGAGGTTCCTCAATTTTTGAGCAAACCTAGCATATTTATATACCATTTTCTTCCAAATTTTGTCAGCTATTCAAAACATTAGCTAAATCCGGGACTTTTCCTCATCCGTAGCCGCTATATCAAAAAAACCGCAAAAAAAGGCCTTTTTAGGCCATTTTTTCAAAATAGCGGAAAATGCTCACCAGATACGCCTGCGGAAACTTCAGATTCGGATTCAGCGACCCAAAAAACATAAAGTAAGCCAAAAAAATCGCTGTGTACCCAAAATTCCAGGTAGCCTCATTTTTAGCTACCAGGCGCCTGGACTAAATAGCAGCAAAGGAAAATCGACAAGGTCGGCGTGGGGGCTGCTTTAATATTCATCTTCCATCGCATTGCTGAGGCGCGACAATACAACTATTCGCACTCTCCGGAATGCGTGAGGTATCACGCCATAATTGAAGGCGTTTTCGAAACTGCCAATTTTCCAAATCGGGATTCTCGTGTCACATAAATAGGGTGTCTACTAAAACTGGCCGGACAATATTTAATACTTTTTCAGTGCTTTTTCAGTGGGTACCTTTCCAAAAAATTTAGTGCTGTTTCGGTACCTTAGAGTTGATTGTTGCGTCTTTGTTTGCGTCTAAAGTTGAGTCTTTGTCTTGCGTGCTTTGATTTTGCTGCACTGTGCCAAGTCTGTTCGCCTGGTAATCAGTCTCCGTCTCGCAATAACAGCATAGCGACGGCTCGTTTTTATTTTTAATTTATTATTCGGTTGAAAATGAAATTGTAACTATTTTGAAACGTTCCGGGTTTTGTTTATCCTTTGTTCTTTTTTTGCAGCCTTTTCCCCATCTTAAAGTTGATTGTTGATTTGAGATCCTATTATTTACTTAAAAATTTTACAGTTTTCTTCTTTAAAAATCATCCATTTGCTAAATACAATCCTAGCTTGAGCACACTTAAAACTGTGCGGACAAAACAGCGGCAAAGGGAACCCGACAACGCCAGCGTTGGAGGCTACTCCATTATTAATCTCCTGTCGCAATGCTAAGGCGTAACGATACAACTATTCGCACTCTCCGGAATGCGTGAGGTATCACGCCGATTTGAAGGCGTTTTTGAAACTGACAACTTTCCTTATCGAGATTATTGTGTGGCATAAAATTCGGGGCATGAAATAAATGGAATGAATTGTCTTACGAGCTAATGCCACAGTTATGCACACATCTCCTTGTGTTAATTTGTTTTTCATAGCTATCGTTCTAGTGACTAATGAGCGTGTAATTTGCTCGAATGTGTTTTCGTTCTATTTAAGCTTATTATACACATTTTTTACTATGCTTTCTTGTGTTTTATTGTTGATTTGAGTTCCTTTTATTTAGTCGTCTATTTTCAGCTCTTCTGTAAAAAGTACCCATTTGCTGAATACAATCCAAGCTTGAGCATACTTAAACTATGCGGTCAAAACTGCAATGGCGGCAAAAAATCTAGCAAGGCCAGTGTGATGGAGGCTACTTCAACATTAATCTTCCATCGCGTTGCCACGGCGCAACGAGCCAACTATTCGTACTCTCCGGAATGCGTGAGGTATTGCGCCACAATTGAAGGCGTTTTCGAAGCTGACAACTTTCTATATCGGGATCCTTGTGTCGCACAAATAGGGAGTCTACTAAAACTGGCTGACAAGTATTTAGTACTTTTACAGTGCTTCTTCAGTACCTTTCCAAAAACTTCGGTGGGTACTTCATAAACAGACAAATTCAGTACTTGTGTGGTGCCTTTCAGTGACAAAATTTGAAACTTTTCGAAATTCACTCGCAAATCGCGAGACAAATGACGTGGCCAAGAAATTCTAAGCTCATTGTTGGACTTGACCAGTAGACACCTTGATAAGGCATAGATTTAAGTATTGCATCAAACTACAAACTTCAACTACAGCATCAACTACAAACAAACACAGAGAGCAGGTAAATTTAAAATTCATTTTTTGACAATCTGCAAAAATTGAAAATCACCTTAGGTAACATAAACTGATCAGGGGGAAAAAAAAAACCAGTGGGGCTTTGAGGTCATATGGGTCTGAACCGCTCTTTACGCTTTTTTCAATTTGTCTCTCTTAGACTTCCCTATCATTCCAGGACCGGATTCTGTTGATCCGATGAAGCCATATATGATTAATTTTAAAGATGGGTACATGTATAAGCTCCAATCTGTCTGGACACAGCCAAAGGAAAGTCAGATCTGAAGATTCTTAACATTTTTTTCCTCTTGAACTTTTGAAGAGGAAACATGATGTGCAAAACTTTAATTGTAAGCTTGTTTACTGGTAAAGAAAAAAATAAACACTAAGAAGTGGTCCGAACTGTATGTAACTAGGTGGAGAAATGGTGCTGGGTCCACACCATTTTGCGGGGGAAACAAAGCCAAGAAATTTCAAAAATTAAAATTAGTGACTCTAATGCGCACCAGTACGAAACTGAGAGGGGAGAGTGTTCAGCTTAGGCAGTTTGCATTGGAATATTAAGGTGATTCGATGGACGCCATAATTTATGTCAGAACGGCATGCGATATATCGCATTAATTGGTTCAATTATTTCAGCTACTAGTCATTTTTCTCCAATTTTGAGATCGCAATTCTGTTGTCAGGAGACTAAAGCACTTACTTACCAGTTTTAATAAAGTAATTCAACGTAATAAAGGCGTGGTTTTTTTAGAGAGAAAACATTGCATTTGATACTGATATCAAAACTGCACTTGAATGCGATATTTTCTCTCTAAAAAACTACACCTTTATTATGTTGAATTTCTTTGTTAAAATTGGTAAGTGAGTGCTTTAGTCTCCTGACAACAGAATTGCGATCTCAAAATTGGAGAAAAATGACGAGTAGCTAAAAAAATGGAACCAATTGATGCGATATATTGCATGCCGTTCTGACACAAAATATGGCGTCCATCGAATCACCTTAAGTTGGAGTCACGCCAAGAGATCTAGACCGGTTTAGGGTTTAGGCCTTATTAGAGTTCAACAAATTTAATTTTGACTCTAATTTTAATTTTTGAAATTTCTTGGCTTTGTTTCCCCGCGAAATGGTAAGGACCCAGCACCATTTCTCCACCTTTATGGGTAACTTTGAGACAAGGGCAAACTTGTTTGCCTTGGCAAGGACCTGGGAAAACTAAGGCACCATAAGGTACCGCACTTTGCTCTATAACCAGTCTTTCTCCATTAGTTTGGTACCACAAAAGTAAGGTGGACTAACACGGACTCAAGGAGCTTATCATTGATAAAGATATTTACTCATATCAATGTTGGAACATTTTTTATTCAATCAAAAAGAGAAAATGGTTCATTTACATGAGATCTGGTAAAAAAAGGCTTGCTAATCATTTCCTTACAAACAACTAAACTGATTATGTTTGGCAGCAGAAATTGATAAAACTAAAAAGTAGGCACAATCACTGGGAACTCCAAAATGTAAAACATTGGCAGAAAAAGGGGTTGTTTGACTGTTGACAAGACAAGTTACAGTTGCTCAGGGTAAATAAGCAAATGGCATATTTACTTGATTAATAAAATAGAAATGAGAGAGAAAAAAGAAAAAAACAACTTGAAACAAAAGAATGACTGTGAACAGAGCTGGATGAAAGCGCGTTTGAGTGTTTGATACTCTTAACACATCTGAATACAAAGTTTCTTAAGAATTCAAACTTTCAATGGAGAGTTTTTTTTTTTTTTTCAATACAACATCTGCTAAAGACTTGATTGTATAGTTAAATCTAAAAAAAAAAAGATTGCCTTGTATGATAAGAATAAGAAGAACTTACTGGCTAAAATTTACAAATTTATTTTAAAAGGCAATTAAGTCCACAAAGTAATATTAGTTTGGATTCGAATCCTTCTTAGACGTTCTATTCCATTAATGTACCAACACATCAAAACATCCTTTTCTGATTAGCTTCGTCTGATCTTCGTACAAATTTTGAAAGGTTTTATCAAAGTTGCTATTACGACTCCTCACTGTTCATCGTCTTTTTAGTCCTATCCATTTTCCTTGCAAGCCTCTTCTAGTCCAATATGCTGCTTTTGTAACCAGCCACACCATCTCTACCACTAGCCAAAAAAGAACAACTTCGTCATTTTCAACACAAGCATTACTTGTGAGCCTCTTTTTCTCACCAAACCTGACAAAGTCCAAAAATTCTGTCACAAATTCTCAGTCAAACGCACCCACGGCATTGCGACGGTGTAAGTTGGCAATCACATAACTCGGTTTTTGACGTCACAGACTTCCTGTCTTCCTTTATTTTTAAGGGAAAAACTGCTCAACACGCAAATCTTTAAAACTGCCGCAATTTCCTTTTCTTTCGAAGAAAATTCTGCATAAACTTCAAGGAATGATGTCAACTTGTTCTCCTTTTAAAACATAACATAGAGGAGGAGATTTACAGACACCGCAAACGAGTTATGTGACTGCCGACTTTCACCGTCGATTGGTTTTTTGAGTTCTAGTCAAAGAGGGTAATCACTCACTTGCATGATTCTTTGCCACCACACACATACCCTTGGTCAAAAGTTTGCAAGAACCTGTAGAAAAATTTAAAAATTTGAAAACTGTTGAAAAAGAATTTGGGATATTTTTGAATGGGTCAAAGGCATCCATTTTTTTAAATTCACTTTTTGAAAGTGTGGAAAGAACTGAGCTTCCGGAAATATTTTCGGATCTTTTCAAACTCTAAGTAACAAAGAGACTCGCTTTTGAAGATGCCAAAAAATGGACCAGTTAGAAACGAAATTTTTGGCAAAGTCTGATGACAAGGTCAGGCGAGGGAAATGGCGTTTCCTGATTGGCTGAACTCAGCTTCTGGCTTCGCCTTGCTGCATCAACTTGACTGTCAGCTTTTAATTTGTTAGATTTTGCTAGGCTTTTTCTCCCCTAAAAAGTTTTTGAACTTTCCAATCAACTTATTGGTTTTTCCACGAATTTCATGAAGGGAAAATTACACTGTAGGCATCTCACCCTGTAAAAATTTCTTAACTCTACCCCATAATAAAACTTCAATTGGACATTCAGTTGGGGAGATCAGTGAGAGGAGATTAAATGGTGTAAAAAATCCTCTACCACCAATATAAATGACTGTGGGAAAGAGACAAGTTACAACAGTCTGGGATAAGGTGACCATTTCATGCACAGCACTCAAAATATTGTGGAATGAAACATTTCATCAACCCTCAGCCAGTTGATCATGAAACAGAGTGATCAGCAAGACCAAAAAATAAAGTAGGTTGGGAGCTGATACTGCAGAAATAAGAGACCTGCGGTGCTGTATTAAATTCGATTCGTTTCAAGATAGTCTTTTCCATTCGAATCCATTTCATCCTTTTCTAAATATGTGTTTAAAAACTCTTCGACTGAATCAGTATTCCACCTTTCAATTGCTAGCACCTGAAAGAAATAAGAAAAAATAGGTATTATTCCGATGGTAGCAGACATTAGGCACATACAGGGTGTCTACTAAAACAGGCTGGTCAAAAATAAGTACTTTTACAGTACTTTTTCAGTACATTCTCAAGAAATTCAGTGCCTCCTCCAACAGAAAAATTCCGTACTTTGTAAGTACCTACCTCCAATTAACCATATTCAAAAAATTTCAAAAATTTTAAATTGCGACAAAAATGACAAAAAATCAAAAAAATTCCGGACCTTTTAGCGGAATTTCCGTACTTTTTCAGTACTTCCAGGCTGCTCTTAAAAGTCAGTACTATTTCCGGACTTTTCGGTAATTCCGAGCTTGTAGACACCCTGCACATAGGAATAACTTTAATGGGTCAGCTAAGCGGGCCACAGAATTGTGCTTTAATGGTTTAAACTGATAGATTAGCAAGCAATGGGGCTTTAGACAAGGCACGAATTAAAACACTACACAATATGTTTTCTCTTCAAAAGTTCATGACGAAAACAAACTATGCGACAGGAAGTCTGAAAATCAACTCCTAAACAAGATACAGGTGTTTACAATTAACATTGGTTAAATGGCAAAAATACAAATGAAGTCATTTATATAATCTAACTTCCATTTGATCTGTGTTAAACATATTTGCTAATTTCTCGTTCAAGAGTTGATTTCCGAAATTCCCGTTGCATGATTCGTTTTCTATGTAAGATTTTGAAGAGATTTCTTTTGACGTCAATTTCTAGTTCAGACCTTGTCTAATGGTCCATTATAAGATCTATTCAAATGCAGAGAGTCTACGTCCAATATTCATGGAGCTAATGCTCAATGAAAAGCACAGCGTGTGGCGTCATCCACTATGGTTTCATGGATCACTGCTACACACATTAGAAATAGTTGCTTGAAAAACATCATGGAAAAAGCAGAGTGACCACAGTGCATGGTATAAAATAATCTATCGAGTTATAAAACAATTCTGCGGGCTGATTATTGAAATTGATAGACACAGCTATAGACAAAGAAGACAAAAGGGATATGGTGGGATCCTTCCGGTGGAAGCGGGTGATTGCAATGCACAAAGAAGGTACGTAATAGACTGACTAATGGCAACCCACAAGAAACCCTATATTTAGTCCATCATTTTATCCTTTAGTCCATAGGAACCAACCATTTCAACCAATAGGATCGCTCCATACTCCCAAAGTCTTCTTCGTCTATCGCTTTGTCTATCAATTTCAATAATCAGCCTGCTGGCAGTATATTACGTTGTGGCAGTCTAAGCTGCATCAGTTAGGGTTTTGATACAAGCAAGACAATGCAAAATTATTTAGGTTTTAGGGAGATGAAATAGGCAGGGTGACTACAAAGGAAAGTACAATATTTTTTGAAAAGCAGATGAAGAGGACACCTACAGGTTTTCAAAATATAGATGACTGAAGTGCAAAATCATGTATCTTCATTGGGGTGTTTCAAAATCTCTGCTCCTACTTTATTTTTTCGAAGAGAAAGAAGACTTGAAATGCTTGAAATTTATAGCTTGAAATTTCTGCGGAATATTTTGCTAATAGAGAAGAAAAATCAAGAGAGTTTTCATGGCATAAAGTTTTTCGATGAAAAATTAAAGTACGACAAGAAGTCTACAACGTCGTAAACAGAGATACGTTCTTCTGGCCATTTTTTATCGATATATACTCATACCACCTGTTTCAATGGATGAAATTTTCATTAGTGGATAGTGGGCTTCTGGGCAAGGTACACATTAAAACAATATGCAATATAACATCTCTTCAAAATTTCACGAGGAAAACAGATCACGAATCGGGAGGTCCAGAAATCAACTCCTTAACATGATAAAAGAGTTTACGATTGATATTATGTACTCGAATGGAAAAAATATCAAAGACATCATTTGTATATCTTTCATTTTATCTGTATTAGAAATACTTGTTAATATCTCGCCCAGAGGTTGATTTCTGAATTTCCTACTGTGTGAATCTTTTTTGCGTAAAATTTTAGGAAGAAAACATGAGACGTATTTCTCCAGCTCAGACCTTGCCAAACAGCCAACTAGAATTAATTCTCCTTCAGAGTGTTCACTTAGCACCTCACCTGAATGACAATGGATCAGCATGATGTAAATGCCTCATTATACTCTCACATGCAATACAAAGAGTTTTCAAATTGAACTCATAATTGAATCAGTGAGAACGAAAACACACCAACTCGAAAAAATGAAAACACTAAAGGCACACGCAAAACTGCAAAGTGGTTGTAGAAGTTAGTACAAGAAAACAATTTCTGGTGCCGAAAGACAAGTGCTTCAGGACACTTTTAAGGTCCAAGTTGGAACAGTTGCGTTAACTTCTATTACCTTTATGAAAACTTACTCTCTTTTATGCAAATTGAGAATTTTTTAGTTACCGAGTTGGTGTCTTTTCGTTCTCACTGATTCAATTAAGAGAATGATGTTTTTTAAGTACGTCAATTAACACTTCCCACACATAAAAAAAGCTAAGTCTTAACTTAACAAATTTTAAAATGTTTTACAATGAAAGAACCTTTTGAATTGTGCAATTAATATATCAATTCCTACAAAACAAAATAGATGGAAAAAGTAACAAACCTCTTGAACTACATCATTCTTATCCATAAGCTTGATGATTGGATCTAGACCGCGGACATATTTTATGGTTAGATTTGGAAACTTGTTGGGCCGGTCACTTTTGACAAATGCTGGAAAAAAAAGGGTAATTAAGTACATTCACTCAAAGGTATCTGTTTTTGATTTTAAAAAAAAAACCAAGGATGAAAAAGGTATTTAAATTTCGGTTGAGAACTTTGAAAATTTTAGATGAGTCAGTTGCAAAATTTTGCTAGAGCAAAAAGAATTCTTACAGAACTGAAACCAATGTCACGAACAGACTTTCTTGGCGACAAGAGAAAATTTTTCCCTTCAGAGTTTCACAGCACATAACCTTTGATATTATCCTCTTGATCATTGCTGCATGATATGTTGAGGAATTAATTTCACAAACATTAGCCCTTGTTTCATGAAAAAATTTGAGCTTGTAGTTGAGAGGCTCAGGTGGTAAATTCTACATGTGCACTAATCAGAACCTTTCATGTGTACTCTTGAAATGGTTGTAAAAAGCTAACATTGCTTACATTTGACCCTATTTTACTATCATCTCGCTTCAATGGGTTAGTGGTGCCCATTTATTTTAATTCATTTTTAGGAAGTACGGCAAGAACTGAGCTTCTAGGAATTTTTCTTTTTTTTAAATTCTAAATGGCAAAAAAACTCCCTTATAAAAATGCCAGAAATGGGACTCGTTTGTAACAATATTTTTGGCGGGCTCTGAAGTTGTAGCCAAACAGGAGAAATAGCTTTGGCTAATTGGCTGACCTCAGCTTCATGCATCGCTATGTCAACTCAACTGTCGGCTTTTAACTAGCTTTTGCTCAGCTGTGGAATGATTTTTGGAGCTTTTTAACGAACTCTTCGGTTTTTTCACAAAATATTACATTTCGAAGATGAAAATACCGGACCTTGTATCTCGTTTGCAGTGTTTGAAAATCTCCTCTGCCATTTTATTTTTTTGAAGGAGACCAAATCAATATTATTCCTTGAGGTTTTCACACTTCAAGGATTGACGCTGAGTAGTTTTACATTTGAAAAATAAAATTAGTCAGGAGCCTTAGACATTGCAAACCGAGATATATAATTTGTTAGTTTCACCGCCGATACGTTGCACTATCCTACTACCCAACAAAAATTCCTTGCCGGTTGTCACTGCCGAATTCTAAAGTTTATATTTTCAAACTGATCGATCAGTACTATCAAATTTTATTGCATACTGAGTTTTCTATACCCACAGTTTACATATTAATGTGTATGTGTACATACACCTTGAAGCGCACTGTAGCAACACAGAAAAACACAGAAGGCTACTCTCACACCTCTTTTTCCTGGATTTAAATGATACTAATTTAATTTTTCCAATCATATTCTGCGGCCACAAGAAGACCTGACTTCAAGCTTCCAAACTTGCAAATGTCATGATAACCACACAGAGGTCTGAGCGAGCAGCCACTGTGTTTTTTCAAACGGACTGTCCACATCTTTTTTGCATACTACTAATTCCATTATGGTGGCATTAACCTGCAAACTCTCAAAGGAATTTGATTAGAACTCATACCTTGAATTTGAGGATAGGCTCCAAATTTACAGGTGCATACTTCTAACCTAGCCTTAGCATATTTTTTCGTGCTTGTTTGGGCCTCTCCAGGATGACAGCACTCCAAACAATGCTCTCTGATTGATTAAAGCAAACAAAAAATGAATTAATTGGTGTGATATTATCTCTACTGAGCATAAATACAGATAATGATCTCATGCTCAAGAAAGAAATGAATCAGTGAGAACGAAAGCACACCAACTCGGTAACTCGAAAACGCTCAATTTCCATTAAAGACAGATAATTTACGTAAAGGTCATTGAAGTTAGCGTGTCTGTTCCAACTTGGACCTTTAAAGTGTCCATAAGTACTTGTCCCTTGGCAGCAAAAATCTTTTTTTTAGCTAACTTCTTTACTTACTGTGCAGTTTCGTGTGTGTCTTGATTATTTGTATTTTTTCAAGTTGGTGTGTTTTCATTCTCACTGATTCAAATATGTACCTGAAATAAACACTATTTTCTTCTGTTAGCTCTACTAACTATTTTATCATTTAAAAATAATTTTAAGTGTGCTCAAAATTTGCAGAAAATTACAAGGTCGCACTGACTCAAAATAAATGAATAATTTACATGCTTCAAATAAGTGAAAAGATAGAAAATTCTTCCTTGGAACACACAGTCTTTTCAATAGATTTGAAAAGTTACCACTTTTTCTGAGGCATGCAGAGTTACCTAATTTTTTAATGCAGCTTTGAAATAAATTTAGATGTAATAGGGAGCATTCCTCTTTAGAAAATCAGACAGATTTATTCAATTTTTTTGTTCTCACATGTAGATCAAAAAGTCGCAAATTCTGCTGCAAAAGGAAGCGGTTGCAAAAATATTTTTGCAAAGTCCTCTCGCAAGATTCTGGAGCATTTTAGGGGTTGTGATATTTTACCAGAAAGTTGTCATTTGTCTCTTGCGCATTCAAAGATATAAGTGGTTGACTTGGAGGCTAAGCCCCCTGAAGCATTTCGCGCCTCGGGCATTGTGCATTAATCTTAAGATTTTGTATTACGGAGTGTGAGATGTTTTTCACATCTGCATTCAATTTTAGGGAACTAATAAAGTAGTATCAGCTGTGTAGACTAGAACATTACTCTGTAGCAACGTATCCATGAGCTACAAAGTGCTGGCCATTTCGACACAGCTTTGTTCATATCCTAAAGCAAAATGATACTCACTTTAAAACATTTAACCCGAAGATACTGAGTTGATCACAAGAAGAGCACAACAGGTTTGCTTTGTTATATCCTAATGCTGTGCAATCTTCAGCAGTAAATTCTGCGCAGTTCTCTAAAATCTGGAAAATTAAGAGAAAAGTTTGGAGAATTAATTTGAAACTACAAATTGATCAGAACTAGGGCAGTTTGAAAAAGATTATCAAAAGGAGGGGAACGTCTCTTTCAAGACAGATTCTTAGCGAGTAGATTACGACAAGGTGAAATCTTCTCACAATATTAAGAAAATCTGCTGAAGAATTTTACAAAGAATGTTACAAAGTTCCTCCTACCTAGCAGGTCTGATATCAGATAAGTTGGCAGTTGTTTACTTTCCATTAGCGAGTGACTTCACTACTGCTGTCCAGTAGCAATTGGACGTATTTCTGTCAAACGGAACAATGTGCATTGTGATATGAGCCTTGTTATGCATGTATTCTTATGGGTCTCAAGGCTCATGTCTTAATGCGCATAATTCTGTTAGATAGAAATAAGTCCAATTGAGGATTGACCGAATGCAAGCAGTGCTGCCATAGTGCGCAGGTACCAAAAACCATTACCTTCCTTTTGAGAGATGTAGCTAAAATTTTTTACCAAGAATGACAGTCAGAAGTAAACAACTGTCAACTTATCTATCGTGAGTTGTACTTGAAATTCAAGTTTCTTTCATTGTTTGGTTCCTGAAAGAAATAAAACCTCCAGTGAGTGGAGGATAAGAGATTGAACAGATATAGAAATTGGTGTTTCAGAGCAAAACTTAATACAGAGCAAAGTTAAAAACACGCTAGCAATGCGACTTAAATATTCTTGAGGGAAACTTCGGCCAACAGCACAGTTTAAACATCACCCATCAAAACACTAGTTGCTCCTGTATAAAAATCTGAGAGATGGTTGTATCATCAGTCAAAAGTTGTGTTGTCGAAGTAAACTGTTTGGGACTGTTGGGCAACGGAATTACCCGATTCCAAACGCTCAGCGTTGTTTGACTCCGTTTGGATTGCCCGATGTCCTGGACTGTTTACGAAACGAAAGTCAACAAGTCATCAATCTCAGGAGGTAGTTGACAGCACTGTAACCTGTAATGTAATTGTGCAAGCGGTGTGCTTTCAAAACACAACAGTTTTTATTCAACAGAGACGACCGACAATGCGTTTCCCAACGGGTAAATCAACGGTCACATTATATCCGTTAGCGTTGAGCACCCAACCCAAACTGAAAGTTTACTTCAACAACGCACCTAAAGCAACAGGTATGCTAAGCCACCTACAGAACTATCGATGTACAAGTATGCTTACATTCGTGTCAGACTAAGGGGGTAAATATGCATCAAACTTCAGTGTGTCCATAAGCGCATGTTAAATTTTTGATCAAATTCACATTGACGCTCGTAGATGAGTGGTTGTGAAACATGCTATTGAGTGTGAAAATGACTTTTGATTTATTGTCATTGAATGAATCAATAAGTGATTAAGTTGTGTTCCACGCACTTGATAAAGATGCATCTTTAAAGTTCATAACTGCGTAGGAAAAATCAGTCGAAAGATAAAACAAATACTCGAACTACCGAATCATGGACTTACCTTGGTAAAAATCACAGAAATACAAACAACCAAGTTGAAATGTTGTAAAATCATCTTAACAGGTAGGTAGGTAAGTAGTTGAGCAGTGCCTACAGAAATTGTATATCAATATTTAGTTAAGTAAGAAATGGAACTAAATATAAAATAAGAAGAATTTCATAGTGCAGAAGTTCAGCGATAATTAAAAGGGAATTGTTGAAACTAAATAAAGAGAGCTGGATAAATTCAAGTGAAATTTTTCGGCTCGAGAGCGCACACCACACGATCTTGCACGGATCCAATGTTTATTGTTTTGATTCTGATAAACCAATGAAAAATGAACAGCAACCATCAGATTGTCATGACGTCATGTTTAGGATATTAAAACTTGCTGATTGGTCAATTTGAATGTTCCCGTGCTCGTGACATCAGGTAGGTACTCCATTTTTTTTTGTTTACCGTATGAAAACTGATTACTGATAAGAGGAAATGACGGCTAGCGGACGTGGACATGGCAAGCTGCCAAGGAAAGTTTGCTTTATCAAAGTAATTTTTAGTACCCTCATACTTTCAGAATTCACTAATTCAGTGGTAAGTTCTGAGGAGGCTACGCAGGCTACGCATGCTTGCAGACTTTTCAAGAGGAAACGGGAAGGTAAGATATTATTGGTTAATCTTTTTGATTTTGAGGCAGTGATCTCATATTCTCTTCTGATCACGAGGAAAGTCTAGAATGACCGGTTTTTAGAAAGATACTTAATTCTAGTCCCAAAAGTACATTTAATGAAGCTTAAAAATTCACTGGTAGTCAGCCATGACCGCCATGAGCATTTGCTGTGCCACTTTGTCATCCCATGTTAGAGAATCTTGTCTTTTAACTGAAAGCTTGATTGAAAGGGGGAAGGGAGTTCAGGTAGGGATGGTGATTTTTTAGAATAAATCGATTTCCCGAAATCAATATGCTGTTCGGTGAAAAATCGATTTGATTTTCAAATCGGATGATTAAAATCGCTTACGCTTACGGAAAAAATCAAATTTCTTAAAAACAATTTTAACACGGTTACTTAAAAACCCAAGTTCGGCGTCAAAACAACAACTGCTGTTAGAGCCGAACTTGATATGAAACTCAAATTTTGCAGATTTAAGGCCTTCTGTGACATTAATGTAGGAAATTACGATTTGTTTCAATCATTCAATCGATTCCAATTTCAAATCAGCTTCAAAAAATTGATTAAAAATTGCCATCCCTCGTCCAGAGTCAGGGTGTTGTGTCCCAAAAGGGAGAGGCCGTATCCTTGTTTAATGTTACTTCAGTGGATCGATTGCCGGTGCTACACATGGAGGCTTTAGTCTTGGTTTATGAGGCACTGACAGTCGGAGGCAAGGCGCGGAATTCTGTGGCATTATCATGAACCTCTCATCAGGTGCGGAGAAAATAGAACACCAAAAAAAAAATGAAATGTTCTGTGAATGTGTTTGTTACTATAAATGTTTAGCGCAAAAGGGAAAGAATCTCTTTTTTTTGAGATGCGCTACAGTTCAATTTTGTTGTTACTCTGCCTTTCTAATATCTTAATCGACAAGAGAGGTCAAGATAATACAACTCCTGAACATTCATTAAGTTTAATGGACAATGAAAAAGATAATAATTCCTCAGATGAGCTGTAGATATGTTACAAAATGGTTATCAATAGTATGATAAGGGAAGGAAAAAGAACACTGTTGCACTGCAGGATAATACAACTCCTGTGGGACCGAGGACAACACAGTAACTTCTGTTCCAAATAAATCTCGTAGGTAGAAATGTGTAAGAATATTAGGATACAATATGATATTGTACGGTATGATAGAGTGTCGACGTATTCCAATACATTTTTAAATCACATTTTTTCCAGCTCTCAAAAAGTCCATTTTTCAATATTTTTAACCCTGTTCTCCCTATCTTCTTGTATATCAACATTAATTTTAATTACTAGACTTGCAACTGATAGCTACATACATTATGGCCAGCCAATCACGTGTAGGCTTGTTATCTCACCACCCGTGATGTCAGCAAGACTATATAAGCGTGGGTTGCCCCAAAATCGAGGTCTGTCTCAATCACAAGGTCTGTCACCTTATTCCGTCTCTCTGAAACTCATGTGAATTTTTCTAACATCTAGACCCGTGGAACGTACACTCTCTCTCATGCCCATCTAAAATTTTGTGCCCTCTCTTGCGACAGCACGGTTTTCTTTTTAAGTGATTTATTTTCCGAACTGTTGTGTGAATTTTGTGCTCAACTTATCCGACAATATAATCAAATTCTTGTCCAGAATATCCAGTATCCTCATTTGACTCTCATCTCTATCTGTAGTTTGTTGTTCCTACTAAAAGAGCAACTGGTGCCGAAATTCAGAACAATCTAGCTATATCTTATTAGGACGCTATTTTGTTAATATAGTGTCAAAATGATCGACAACTAGTATAGCAACGAAAGCCACGCTCGTTAGCTAACATGATGCCGAAACAACTCCTGTAAGACCGAGGACAACACGGTAACTTCTGTTCCAAATAAATATCGTAGGTAGAGATGTGTAAGAATATTAGGATACAATAAGAAACAGTACGGTATGATAGAGTAACTGAGTTCCCCCCTCCTGTCATCAACCCACGCGGTTCCTGAGCCCACCATTGCAGGATCGTCGGTGCCTCATAAATCTAAGACTAAAGCTCCCAAGTGTGGCACCAGATGAATCACAGCTGTGGTTTAACATGCGTTCCTATGATGGAGAATTTGCTGCACGTTCATTTCTTGCAGATATATTTTTGAAGTTCATTTGGTAGAAAATTTTGATGTAATATTTTTTGGAGAGAGCAAAATTGGAAAGTCTGACTGTGCGGTATGAAATGAAATCTCGTAACCTATGGAAAGTCTAGCCCAATACTAACTATATCATACCCACCTACAGGAGATACTATGTGAGAGGGTACTGATAAATGCCTCTGAGGTTCACCGCTGGGGCTGGGCCATAGGTAGCATGCTTAAAATGAGATTTTTTATTTTTCAAATGCAGGTACAGTTTTTTCCAATGGAATCCTCCTTTCCATTCTTGGCTCACATTTTTTGGCATCATTTTTCAGAACCCTTCATTTATGGCAGACTTTTGTGACCGCAGTGATATTTTCCTGTTTCAGAAATGTATGTTCAAAACTATCCAGATTGTGGCAGAGTTTTACGGGCACCACTATACCAAGGATGTCACGAACAACCTAGTTATGAGATAACTTAACATATATTTACCTACTATGGACTCACTTTTTGCTGATTTTCAACCTGCATATTATTCCGTTAATCTGCTAGCTTTCATCAGAATGATCCTAAATTCTGGACATCCTCACTGCTCTTGAAAAACCATTCTATGACTAGAATGGAACCTCTATCAATTTCTCCGTGAGTGCGGAAGTCTGAATATTTTATTCAACTCTTTACATGTGTCCTGCTGTTCTTTAGTGCAGCGAATCTCAACTTGTGGGCTGTGAATCTTCTGGGTTCTTATGGCAAAAGTGTGGTTCTGCTAATTACAAAAAGTAAATTCTGAAACAAACTTTTAGCTGTTGAAAGGTAGCGCAAGACTCTAGTGTCAAATATGGAGCCAAATATAATAATGCCAGTGGGCAAAATGCTGGAAAAACTCTTGCATTAACACCAAAAACAGAAGGTTTGTGTCTCAATGTATTAAAATGTATTTTCTGTGGAAAAAAGTAATTTTTTTAAAGCTGAGAGCCACCCAGGAAGGAACTTAGGGTTCTGCAAGGTGGAATGGTTGCCACTGCTTTAATAGATGCTGATGCCTAGAAGGTGATATAGGTTTAAGGGGTAATTCAGCTTATCTGAGCTTCTATCTAAGAAAATTAGCCTAGCCTAGACTGCAAGTGGTGAAAAAAGAAGAACAGAATGTACAAAGTTAAAATTCAGTTTTGAAAATAAAAGGTAGCTTGATCTTTTAAAATTTATACCATAAGCCTCTAAATAACTTGATGTAAAAAAAAAAAAAAAAGAAAGAAAGATTAAAAAAGAACTTTCTTCTGTTTTTGAGATTTTAAAGAAATATGTAAGTAATGGCGGAAATATTGATGTCTCTGGAAATAGAATTATGGTAAAAGTTCCTTGCTTCATAATATGAAAAATCTATTTTTCCTTACATTGCTGATTTTCTTTACAGATTTTTTATCCAACCTTCGTTTTGGCTTTCTTGTGGGTGGAGGAGAGTTTTTTTTGGAGTTCTCTCTTTCAGAGAAATTTTACCTCATCCACGAAACTCTTACGAAAACTGAACCTTGACAGCTTTTGTTGAAAAATACTCTCAATACATGAAGTTGTAAGTCTCTCCTTTTGTTTTAATTATTTAAAGGCGAACTAACAAACAATTTCTCTTGAATTTTTCTGTAAATTTTTCCACTCTTTCCAAAAACAAAAAACAAAATGTATGTAATGGCCGAGAAATATTTTGATTAGTTTTCTTTGAAGAAAATAAAATGTAATGGAAGATTTTAAAAGTTATTATAAATTAAGGTACGTACTTCTCATGTTTAGGCATTAATATGTTTCTCCTGTGATACACACTTGATGTAACCATCTTTATAATTTAATGAAATATCTGGATGAAAGCAAATATACAGCCCTTTTCTCAGTAGAACAGTATAGGTACCGATGGCCTAAGTGCGAAACCTTGTTTCTCCAATTGTAACGTTGAAGACTTCTTGTCACACTTAATTTTTTCTTTGACAAACATTCAGCATAATTTCTTGAAAATTTCTCTGATTATTCTTGTCTGTTAGCAGAATGGTCTGTATAAATATCAAGCTCTAAAGTTGAATTGTTTCTTTTCAAAAAAACAAAATAGGGATGAAAATGTTGAAACATTGCAAGGGTGATTTGTGGTTTCGCACTTTGGCTATTATGTCTCTTAGAGATTTTATGTTTACTTGAATGGTTCGCTCTTGAACATACATTTTAATTTATTTGTAACATTCTCAGTCATTAAAAAGTTGCAAACGGTGCAATTCTGGTGAATGATGAAACCTCATGCTTAAATTGTGCTTACAAGACATCCTTCAGTGCCTGTAAACGAGAGATATTTGCCTAAAAATTGGCACCCTGATTTTTGTAGCTCTTTACAAAATGTTACAATGTATGAGGGTCGTTATGAAAATCATAATGGTTTTAGAAGTAAAGGAAAGTTAATGTGTTTAAACACCGAGAAGGCAAGATGTTTTGAGCCCTCATTTACAGCTGGAAAAGACAATCAATATTAATAAAGACATGAGTGGTGACTTGATCTCAATCGTTAACTTGCAGCCACTCCTCAGATGAAGTAAGTCTGACTGCCTCTAATTTTCTTCTTTCAGGGATGATTTCAGCCACATCAATTGGATGCCTCGAAGTGCAGTCAAAACTCGACAAGACAGGGAAAAAATCATATTCACATGACTATTTTTTAGTTGAACATTGACCATTGTTAGCAGGCAGTGCACTGAAATTGACATCTCCTTGAAATCTGTTGAATTTATTTTTCCACAAGTAAGTCAGTATTGTTTGCTATTACAGCAACAAGCCGTTTTAGCATCAGTATTTTTGTGCAACAATAAATTGACATGAAGAGGCAACAACAATGATGCGGTTGCATTAAAGGTGCAGCTAGAGAACTTAACTACTTTTTATTGTTGCCAAATCTTCTCTTGGAAATTTCATTTTTACAAAGAGATTTCTGGGCATTTCTTACTGAAACATTCAGTGAAATTCTCCTCCAATCTCATGTAAAAATCCAGAGAATATCATACACAAAGTGCACAGGTACATTCTTGTAAACAATGTAATTGTTTGGATTAATTTTGCAACCTTGGGATGGAGTTACGCTCCCTCATCTGGGAAACAACATATTGTGCCATCAAACAATCCGCACATCTAATACCAGAGCTAAGAATTTTTTTTTTTTTTTTTTTTTTTTTTTTTTATTCCACTTGAAGGAAAAAAATCATACTGTGAGAAAATGGTTTACTACTTCTTTGTTTTCTTTATCGGGAACTATGGTCACTTACTTTTCTTCCTTTTTCGCCCGATGCAAATGTATATAAATGCCCGATGTAAATATTAGAAAAAGGAAGAAAAGTAAGTGAGAAAAAGGTTTCTTTAACTAAGAACTTGCATCAGATAAGTTGCCAGTTACTTACATTCTGTTTGCAAGCAACTTTGCTGGCGTCGTCCAATAGAGATTGAGGATTGAGAGTGTACAAGTGCCGATTCTGTGTGTTAATCGGTTTACTGCATGCAACTGCCGAAAGTAAGCAACTGCCAACTTACCTAATGCATGAAAATAATTAAATGATTTGTCAGAGTTACTTTAATTGAACATGATATTGTTGTAACTATTTATTTCAGTAGTCTAAAGCATTGCATGTCATAATTTGAAAAACTATACCGAAAATAAAACAAACAAACAAACAAAAATCTTTTCCGAGGCGAGTCCTATGAGTTCCCTTTATCAGGTCTGAAATTGGTAAAACTTACCATTTTCGGATTTTTTCTTCTGAATGATTTCATTGATTATTAGTCAAGAGTTGGCATTGATTAATTTTATAGTGCTTTTCTCAGTTGCTCTAAGGTTTTTTAACGTTTTGCATACGTGACGATCTTCTTCACTAATATTCTCTCAAACATTCTTCATTTTTTTTGTTGCTGACTCTATTGTGTAAGATTGTCATATGATCTGATAAGCCCAAAGAAGAAGCAGCACCCGGAAACTCATTGTTTCCAGCCATAAACCAAAACTAAATAAAATCATCAAGAAGAACAAATCATAGAAAGAGTGAGAGTTATTAATGAGGATTTTTTGAAGCATCAATGATTGAGGGTACATATGCCTAGGGTTGCCAGCGACTGGGAAAACCGGGAAAAGTCAAGGAAAAAAAATCAACCGGGAAAAGTCAGGGAATTTCGGTGTTGGTCAGGGATTTTTCTGATTTTTCGTGGAATTAGGCGCGGGCAGTCTCGGGCTCGCGTTGCGGGATCAATTTGGCAATCTGACTGCGTCAGATCCATACTTAAAAGTCAGGGAAAAATATTGGAAAGTCAGGGAAAAGTCAGGGAATGGAAAAAAATAATATGGCTGGCAACCCTGTATGCCTCAGACAAATCGTCTAATCAGGCATTTTATCAATGGCTGATAGTCAAACTTTGACAGTTAATGAGGTCTTGTTTTACTACAAACAGCTTACAAGTTTCCAATATTTTGGAAAAAATAACTCATACAATCCACGAACTTCACTCGCTATTTCCTCTTCAAGTTCTCTTCGTATATTTTAATGTAAAATTTTCAAAAAAACCTGATGCAAATTTTAAGATTTATGTTTGTTCAGGAACTTTAAAGGGTTTGAAATACTATTCTATGATGCAAATTTTTACAGAGAATTATTTTTAACATGAGCAATGAATTATTTTGTGTAAAATTAGAAAAATTATCAGAATTTCAATCTGAGTAAGAATTATTGATCATTTTCATTATCATTTGAGTTTTGACAAACTGCCTGATTTTATTTTTTGCCTGCAGCACATGTACCACGAACAAATTCAGCTTCTTGTCAGTGGTGCTAATTTTTAATCGATCTAATGAACTTTTCCCTGTAATCTCCGAGTAAAAGTTTTCATTTCTTATTTGCAGGACCTCATCAAGATTGCTGTATACCTCTTTATTTGGAAAAAGTCTTCATGAAGATGAAAAAAGCTTTGCAGTGAAATCTCCTGCGACAATGGTGAAGGCTGGGGGCAGCCCAAAATCGTTAGATGAGAATCAAAATTTGCAGCAATACAATCTACTTAAATGTTCATCGCATATGCAGGTGCCAAGGACCAACAAGTCTGAAGGTATTCTGAGTCAATAATCATTATCTGCATTGGAGTTTGCCAAAATTATTTTTTTCAATGTGAAAATTTCTGCGTAGAGCAAGAATTTCTCATATGTAGTTTAAATAATGGAGCTCGGGTGAAAGATTTAGGTGCTCGTTTGACTGGTACATTTGGTGACCCGTGGAAAGAAAATTTTCGGCCTTTGAATTTACTGCTACCTGAAACAGAATACCACACATTAAATCCCTGAAAAATTTTCTCGGTCATTGTGATGGCCACCCTTATAAGGGAAATTCCCAACCAGGGAAAGGTCACCCTTCTTTCAGAGATGGATTCGATTCTCTATAAGAAGTAATTTTATAAAATTTATGATTTACTCTTATAAAGAATCAACTCGATCACTGGAGGAGCGATTGATGAGATGCACTTGACGAAATACTTCGAGATTCACCCTTAGAGTGAAAAACAAAGTATTTAGACAACTACAAATGCTAAAACAGAGTGGGAGAGCAAATTAGCAAACTGATGAAAAATAAAATTTAAACATTCATGCTTTTTACGATCGGGATTTTGATGCAAGTTAATAAAGACAAAGAAGTCTGGCGTTTTACAATCTATTAAATGGAAAATTTTAAGAATTTTGAAAAAATGAAAAATTGAGATTAATACCTCATTTAAAATTATTAAAGTCATCTAAAAATGAAATAGATTTCAGAGAGGATAAAGAAAAGTCTTTCGACGATTCACCACAGTTGTCCGGGGTTTCCAAGTTCCGAAAATCGTAAGTCCAGAATCCAAAATAACGCCAAGTTGAAAACGAGAGAGAGCAGTAGGAGCTGGGTCCGAGGCAAGAGAGTGAGATCCTGCCAGGCCGAGGCTCCCGGCAGGAATACCAGATCGAACCTCGATAAAAAGGCGCGTTCAAGTTTTTGAAGTTTATCAAAAAAGTCTTTATTACGAGAGACAGAAAATGAATGTAATGAGCGCAATTAAGATAAAGAGTTAAGCTCTTATCTAAATATCTCATCTCACCCTTACCAAAAAAGACGGCGCCCACGTCGTCGTAAAAAAAAGAAAGATATTTGAAAAACAATGAAAAAGAAGGGTGGTGAGTATGACTGAAGGCCATGTAAAAGAAAACAATTGAAAATTAATTGAAGGGGAGGGGCAAAAAAAGTACATTAATGAAAAAAAGTTAGAACGCCAAAAAAAGAAAAAAAAAAAAAAAAAAAAAAAAAAAAAAAAAAATATACATTGCTGAATTAAAAATTATAAACTGGAGCTGGAACAAACAAAGAGAATAACAAATGGAAATTTTCATATTAGACGCTTGAAAAGTAAAAAACAGAAATTACAAAAAAAAAATTTTGAACTGTTACTTTTGACAAAAAGAAAAATATCATTCTTCATTAAGAAGATCGCTCTGAATTTCATTTCTTCCTTTTGCACTCCGGGAACGGGGGGAACGCCCCGCTGAAGGATTAACCAACTCATGGGAGGCTAGGGAAAAGGGGAAGAAAAATTGGCTGCCACCCCGAGCAAAGAGCAAGAGAAAAATGAATTTTTTTCTTGCTCAAAGCTCGAGCCTGGCATGGCTGGCATCGTCGATACCTAGGGACTTCAATGAGGGGAATAGCCGTACCAAAGTTTCTAAGGTTTGTCATATTTTACTCTTTTTACCGTTCTGAGCCTTCCGGAAAATGCTCCGGTTAGGCCAGCCGCGGGTACAACGCCCTGGATTGACCCTAGCGTCCGTGTAGCCTTTGGAATTACTGCCAGAGTCATTGATCCACGACTGACCTATCAGTCGCATGGAAATGCCTTGATCTGGAAAAAAAAAGCAAAGACATGGGGTGATGTTGTGGGGTGTGGATAAACATCATTAATACAAAGAACAAGATAAGTAGTCACAGGTCTTACACATTATTATTTTAAATAAAGCCAATTACAAGGTGCCAAGTATAAAAACCAATTTACATAAAGAGAACAAATTATTGAGAAATTTGAGAAATATGAGAAATTATTTAGTTGAATTATTTATTTAGAGAAGGAGAAAAAAAAAGTAAATTGGTCTCTGGGTTTGCAGGGCATGTCAACAATTTAAAAATAAATCTGACACCATGCGTGTAAAAGACGAGGTCATAGATATTTTTATTTTTAAATTGCGAATTACTAAGGCTTTAAAGTTTCACCATTGACATTATTTTTGCGTGGAAGATCACAAATGCAGTCGTTCGCGCTAGCCCTTGAAATCGGGTGCCATGTTGAGATGCATTTGCGTCTGTGCTCCAGGGGATGCTTTTACTATCCCTCTCCACAAAAGTAGTGAACAAATCCACTTAGTTTAAACAAATAATTCGATTACTTTAAAGTTGTTGCAATTTACTGTAGTAATGTTTTGCGCTGTTCTCTGAAAAATATGCTCATCTTTATTACTACAGTAAAAGTTACAAAACTTTACAACGCCTAAAAAGCGAGGGGAACCGAACAAAAGATGTGACTCAGGTAGAGAAATCGAAAAGACACCACAGTCCTTATTCTGAGAAGATACTTTCCGAATCAAAGGAATTGATCAGATTTCTCTTCTTCGGTTGAACAATCAACCCAGAAGCAGGGTCCTCGATTTACAAAACCCTTGAGAGTCATCACAAAACGGTGGAACGCAACAAAAGTTGCCGATTCAAAAAGGGGAGGCGAATTATTTGCTAAACGAAAATGAGAAAGAAAGATTTTGATCAGGTTCAAATTTTACCGTCGTGTTCTCACGACCCTTGTTGAAAGAAATAATAAACAAAAACAAGTCCACGTGAAGCTAAAATTGTTGTATAAAAAAAAAATCAAAAGGTTCATTAAAAAATTGTAAGTAAATTTTAAAAAATGGAGACTTACAGAGTGGACAGAGTGGTTACTTTTAGAGTGGACTGTTAATATCAGCCATGCCTCGAGCACGTCATAGCGCTTTTAGCTCCGTTTTGGCAGCTTGATTATGTGCCTTTAATTTTGTGCACCATTTCACTAAGAAAAATACCATCGCCGCAAGAACAATCAAAAATAAAATAAGATTCTGAATCAAATCTTGCGTAAACGTAAAAATGTACATTTATTTTTAGAATCGTTAACTGAAGAGTTTACGTCGTTGCTTGCAATTCCCATTTTTGAAAAAGGACAGTTGAAAAAAATTAAGGCAAAAATCACTAGATCTGAATTCTGAACCCGTTGGTTTGAGAAGTAACAATAAGTAAAAATATGAGAGCAACTGTTAACTATTGAAAGCGGAAATCAAAAATGAGTTCTTCCTCGTATTGTGTTATCACAATCCTTATTCGAGAATAAGTCCACGTAGAACGAAGAATGACTCAAAAATGTCAGTCTTTTTCAAGGGAATAAGTTGAAAAAGGTTCGAAGAACTTCTTTAATTTGGAAATATGACACTGACAATGTAAATCTGTAATCAATGTAAAAATGATTCAGATGATCTGTAACTCTCATTATAGTAAAATCAGTGAGATAAATTCAGCGCAATTTCAACTTGAAAATTTTTTCTCTAGAAATTCCCAGCTGTAGCCTTCTTAGATTTCTAACGCCTGGAAGTGTCAAGATGTATGGGCGGGAGAAGGGGGGAAAAGGACGGCACACACAGAATAACGCCAGTAAAATCGGCTTTTCATACTAACAAACTTTATTCACAAAACAGATACTTATATACAGGTAATTGTCCTCGATCAATCCTCGCAGGTGAGGTGCATTCGTCAATATTGAAGAGTAAACATTAAACATAGAAAGGTCGTTCAACACTTATCAGTTGTTGCCATATTTCATGACAGGAAGTGTATGATAGATTTAAGCCATCGAAATCTCCTTTGTCACTCGTCACTATTTCAGCTGTTGTGATTTGTTGTTTAGTCGATATACCTACTGCTTCTTGTGATAATGAAAATAAATTGTTAAATAATTGTAATGATTGTTCTTATTGTTGAATAAATTATGATAATGAAAATAAATTGTGTTCAATTGTTAGAAATTAATTATATTTTTTCCCTATCCTCATCCATAAATATGCCCTAAAAGAGCGGGTTTCTTTAATAATTCAAGCTGGAAATAGTTATGATACGTTCAAGTAGTTGCACATGATTTCACACCGAATTCTCATTATTCTGAGGGTAGGTAACTCAGAACATTGAACATGAAAAGAGACTGATTGCGAGACTCGTAGTGAATTAGATCGTGCTGACAATGCTGATTTATCCCTAAAATTCTAGTGTCAAAATTTCAAAATTCCAGCCTTTTCATTAAAATTGCCGAACCTGTAGACACCCTGATCGACCCTCTAAGGTTTTTCTATTCGATTTGGGACCCTGCATATTCATCTATCTGTCGCAGGCAATTAGCAATCGCCGGCAATGTGCAAGCCAGTGGTGAATAAATACAGAAAATCATATAATTCAAAAATAAAAGAACAAGATTAGAGTGCTTATTATGTTGCCTGTGATGTGAATAGACATTTTTTCATCCTTAAAAATATGGCAGAAACATGCACACTCCGGAGAGCGTACAGTGATCTCCGTGACATTAGTTGGGTTGAGATTGGACAGGCAACTAAACTAACATCGTGACAAAGCGTAGAGTATCCTGGAAAATGAAGGCACTTCAAGCCGAGCTCATACCTTTGAAGACCATAACCCTTAAAAATTGCATTAGGTATGCCGATGCGCATTATTGCGATTTATTGAAACAACATGTGAACCGCTTGCAAATTGCCGGCGATTGCTAATTGCCTGCGACATCCATATCATTAAGGGGGGGGAGGACCTTTCTTTGCAATATTGCGAATTGTCTGTTTCTAATCATACTTTATTCTTCAAGTGGTAAAGCAACTTTATCCAGCTCGAAAATCATAATATTTCCTCTCTGTGTACCGGATCATGGTACCTACTTTATACATATGTATTGCAGGCGTACTTTAAAGTTTCTAAGGCAATGTAATGGAAGCAGTCAGTGGCGAAACGTGAGTGATCGATGATCGATATTTCTCCATTTGAAGCCATGGTACAGAATCGATTATGAAGGTGATTATGACCCTGTTCGTCGATCCTTTCCCTTCGGTTTAAACGGTAGATCAATCTAAATATCGCACAGCACGCCACGCCACCGAATGAGAGCTGGAGGAGTTATAACGTTCGTACACTCCTTCTCTTTCAGACCGTCAGATTTGAATTTGAGGAATCATATCAATTTATTGATGGACACATACTTCACTGGGAAAAAAAAATACATTGGATCTAGAGTCCAGACTCTTGAAAACATTAACAAGAAAAAATACTCTTGATTCAATCGGATGTTTGCTTAAATCAAAAGGAAATCCGCTCAAATTAAGAGGCTTGGTTCCTGATTTAAGCAAAAATCTGATTGAATCAAGAGTATATTTTCTTGTCAATGTTTTCAAGAGTTTGGACTCTAGATCCAATGTGTTTTTTTTTTTTTTTTTTTTTTTTTTTTT